GAGGGTGCTGGACCTGCCTGCATTTGGGGTTTGGTGTCTGGATTGGGCAGGATCTGTCCCTGACCATTCTCTGCCCCTTGCAGGCTGAAGGACCTCTTCTACCGCTCCAGCAACCTGCAGTACTTCAAGCGGCTGATTCAGATCCCGCAGCTGCCGGAGGTGAGACCTCAGGGTCCGTGGTTCCCACGCTTGCTGTCCCCATGGCCAGGAGCAGCAATGGGGCTGGTGGCACTGTGCCCAAAAAGTGTAAGCTGTCGCCTTGCCTGGCTTCCTGGCGCCAGTGGTAATGTGGGGCTTGTGGGTCCTGAGGCTTATCCTTGCGTCCCTCTCTGAGTGGGATTCTATGGAATGGAGCTGCCCCTCCAGTGGGGGGCTAGGACCCTCTCTCACACTGACTTTCAGCCCTTGCTGGGATCCGCCCCTGTGGGTCCTGGCTCTGTTGCCATGGGTCAGGGCACAGCCAGCTCAGTGCTGGGGCAGGATTTCAACCAGCCGTGCCTAAAGCCCTGCGGCAGTGCTGGTCCTTTCCTCAGCAGCCACACTCCCCTTCCTCCCCAGAACCCGCCCAATTTCCTGCGTGCCTCAGCGCTGTCAGAGCACATCAGCCCTGTGGTGGTCATCCCCGCCGAGGCATCCTCACCCGACAGTGAGCCCATCACAGACTTGGTGGAGATGGACACAGCCTCACAGGTGAGCTGCCACAGCGCTGCCTGTGCACCCCAGGCTGCAGAGGGGATGGCGGGTGCCCTTTGGCTCCCAGACCAGAGTTATTTCTCCAAAACCGTACCATGGAGGGGGCTGGGACCGTGGGCATGGCCTTGGGCGCTGTGGAGCATCATGGCAGTGGGACTTGTTGGCACTGGGTATCACATGTGGGTGCTGCACAGGCTCTAGTCATCTCGCAGTGCTTCGCTTGGTGATTTGGTGCCCTCCAGTGATGGCTGGCAGGAAATGTTTGGCTTCCCAGCATCACCCCTCTGCGCTGTGTGCTTGCATTAGGTCCTCACTCCCCTCTCCACCAAGAGTTGTCCCGTGGCACTGATAGTTTTGGGAGGGGAAGGGGCATGCAGTGACATGGCTTATGGGGACTGTCCCCACCCCAGGAGAGGGGACACACCAGAGATACTCCATGTTCAGTATGTTCAACGTGTTCAATACCCTGGTAGCAGCAGGGAGGATCCAGCCCCGGTGTCCAGGCAGCACCAGCAGGCAGCAGCCCTGCTGGCTCTTGGGCTTGGTGGTGCTGCCAAGGATATGGAGGGGACAAGGGCTCCCAGGCAGTGCTGGGTTTACTCCAGGTCCCTGCTGCTCTCCCTGCAGAGCCTGTTTGACAGTAAGTTTGACGATGTCTTCGGCAGCTGTTTGAGCAGTGACCCCTTCAACTTCAACAGCCAGAACGGGATGAACAAGGATGACAAGTGAGCAGTTGGGGTGATGCCGTGGAGGCAGCCAGGATTGGACTGGGAGCTCCCAGCATGGGACCATGGGGGCCGAGGGGACACCTCCCTCCCAGGATGTGTCCCCACAGCACCAGTGTGGCTGGTGGCACTGAGCATGTACCTGATGTCTCCTTCCCAGGGACCGGTTAATCGAGCAGCTTTACGGGGAGATCGCAGCCCTGAAGGAGGAGCTGGAGAGCTTCAAGGCTGAGGTGGGTGACAACCATCCTGTGATGCAGTGAGCACCTATGTGGGAGGTCCGGGGGCAAGATGAGACCCAGCAGCTCACGCTGGGAGTGGGGCTGGTGCGGTAATGGCTGTGTCCTCAGATGGACAAGGAGTGACACTCATAGAATCCCAGACTGGTTTGGGTTGGAAGGGATCTTAAAGCTCCTCCAGCTCCAACCCCTGCCACGGGCAGGGACACCTTCCACTAGAGCAGGTTGCTCTAAGCCCCTGTGTCCAACCTGGCCTTGAACACTGCCAGGGCTGGGGCAGCCACAGCTTCTCTGGGCACCCTGTGCCAGTGCCTCAGCACCCTCACAGGGAAGAACTTCTGCCTCAGAGCTCATCTCAGTCTCCCCTCTGGCAGGTTAAAGCTATTCCCCTTGTCCTGTCACTGCTGTCTGTCCTGCTCTATGCCTGATGGCTTCCGCATCCCTGGGGCAGGCATCCCTGCCATTACAGGGGGTCCCTGGGTGTGCTGGAGGATCCATGTCCCTGCTGGGAGGGGCCAGACTCACCCCCACTGTCCAGCATCCTCCGTGCTTCACCCTGCTGCAGCTGGGGCTCTGTGGGGTGCTACCCATGGGGTGTCCGCTGGACAGTACGGGCAGGCATAGGGCAGCGCAGGCAGCCGTGGAATGGTGCTGGGAGCTCCCACTGCCGTTCTGCAGAGTGCACGGGGCATGATGCAGCTGCGTGGTCGCGCCAGCGAGCTGGAAGCTGAGCTGGCCGAGCAGCAGCACCTGAAGCAGCAGGCACAGGATGAGAGCGAGTTCCTGCGCACGGAGCTGGAGGAGCTGAAGAAGCAGCGGGAGGACACAGAGAAGGCACAGAGGAGCCTGACGGAGATCGAAAGTGAGCAGGGAGAGCTGGCGCTCGCCTCGGGGTGAGGGTGAGCCGCTGGGCGGGGGTCCCGGTGCTCACCCCGTGTCCCTGTGTGCGGGGCAGGGCGCGCACAGGCCAACGAGCAGCGCTACAGCAAGCTAAAGGAGAAGTACAGCGAGCTGGTGCAGAACCATGCCGACCTGCTGCGGAAGGTGGGTTACCCAAACACACCCTGGTATCCCCTTTACCCAGCTGTGCCCCTTGACACCAGGGGTTGCTGAGCTCCTCTGCCCTCACCAGAACGCGGAGGTGACCAAGCAGGTGACAGCGGCCAGGCAGGCCCAGGGGGATGTGGAGCGGGAGAAGAAGGAGCTGGAGGATTCCTTCCAGCGGGTGAGCGAGCAGGCTCAGAGGAAGGTGAGTGGGAATGGAGCAGGAGACATGCCAGGAATGGCTGGGGGAGCTCCCCACTGGGGCTCTGGTGCCAACCTCTCTTCTTGCTGGCAGTCTCAGGAGCAGGCAGAGGTGCTGGACACACTGAAGAGGGAGCTGGCAGCCAGCAGACAGGAGCTGCAGGTCCTCCAGGGCACACTGGAGTCCAGCACACAGGTGAGAGTCCAGGGGTGGCCCTGCATGGTCTGCCTGCAGTCACAGTGCTTGGGTGAGGTGTCCCCATCCCAGAGGCGTTACCCACTATTGGTCTATTCCCAGTAGGGAGATAACCAACTCCCTGTCTTCTTCTTCACCACACCTAGGTGGGTTTAATGCGCTAGGGGCTGGGGCATGCAGGGAGTTAGAGTCCTGGGTGCAAGACCATGCTGAGCAACGGCCTCCAGCAGCAGGGATTGTTGAACAAATCCCTGCCAGAGCAGGATCAGGGGAGGTAGCTCTGCCCACTGTAAAACCTTGGCAGGCTCACTGCTGTGTCAGAGGAGACACAGCAGGGGTTCCATGCTCCTTACAGAAGGCAGAAACTGGCAGGAAAATGCAGCGGAACACAGATGGGGCAGAGCTGGAGCTGGCAGCCACCACTCTTCATCCGCTCCTCCATCAGGATGTTGACAGTCATCATAGCAGTGGATTTTCACTGATAAAAGTGAAAGGGCTCTCCAGGGAGCCTTGACCAGCCCCAGGCAAGGCCATTGGTGCTGCAGGGGTGCTGCCAGGCAGTGGGTGATGCAGGGCTGTAACCTGCATGGGCTGCGACGCACCAAGCAGGGACAGTTGGGGTGGCCCAAGCCTGGACCATGAGCAAGTCCCCAGCCTGGAGGGTTCACTCTTGGCTCAGCCCCCACCGCTTTGTGCCCATGCAGGCAGGAGCGGAGCAGAGCACCCGAATTGCCGGCCTGGAGCAGGAGAGGGACAGTCTGAGCCGGGCAGCGGAGCGGCATGGGGAGGAGGTGGCTGCCCTGCACGCTGAGCTGCAGCAGATGCGGGACAGACTTGGGCGCGAGCAGGAGAGCAGCAAGATGGAGCTGGAGGTGTTGCAGGCCCAGCTGAGAGATAAGGTACTGCAGAGGCATCCCAGCATCTCCCTACCTGCTGGGCTGGGGGGGCGTCCAGCAGAGCTGGAGGCAGCAGTGGGGTGTGGGGGGTGATTCCCAGGCAGCATGACGTGGTCCGTGACCCACACTCTGGTTCGGCAGGAGAGCAGGGAGCAGGCGCTGCAGCAGCACGTGGCTGAGGAGCAGTTTGCCCTGCTGCAAGGCACCGCACAGG